ATTTACAGCAGATGCATGAGGGTTCAAGTCTGAGTCTAGAAGACTACTACTCCCAACTCTCACGCTGGACATGCCAAGGACTTGGGCACTGCTGCCCTTACCTCCCGCAGTCCTGCCAGTAGCATCTACAGGATGCCAACCGGCGTCGGTTCCGCCGCTGGCTCTACCACCAGCAGAGGAACGACAAACAACAATTGCACGAAGGTTCAAGCCTGAGTCTGCAAGACTACTACTCCCAACCCACATGCTGGACATGCCAAAGCCTTGGACACTACTGTCCGTACCTCCCACAGTCCTGCCAGTGACATCCGATTGATGCACACCAGCATACTCTGTTCCGCCGCTTCCCGGCGCAGCAGCAAATGAAACAGAGGACTCCACCTGATCACCTCGTTGCCCAACAAGCGACTTGATTATGCTCGTGAGCTGGGACAACAGTGTCTCAATCGAATCCAGTCTCTCACCACCAATAACATCCCGCGAATCACCCGGAGGTGGGTAATCCACATGATCCCCAGCAGGCCCACTCATCACGAAGCAAGGTGATCAATCTTCCTCCGTTCAGTCTTGACGTACAGTCCAAGGGGACAAGCAGCAGTCGACTGGTTCGCTATAGCGTGTTGGTAAACTCGTGGCTTCTGGGGAAAAGATGTTGTATTGATGAGACCTTGGACCAGGAGAACAGACAGGTCAAAAGGTGGAGTGAGCAAGGGTGGGGCGAGCACCGCAGCGCCGCAGCACCACCCGTCGCTCGACCAACGGACGAAAGCAGAACACAATATCGGAACACAACGACTCAACAGGGGCCAACGTACTTCACAACGTACCATGAATCCTCTGGTTGATGCACTATCCATAAAGAATACACTCGGGGAAATGCACCATCCACGAGGAGCATTCCTACAGAACGTTCCTTGCTGTTCTGATAATATGTGGCTACTCAGCGATCTGCAACATCGACAGTCCCTCAATTCAAACTGTCCAATCATATTGTGCTACGTTACTCTGTCGACACACACAGCAGCAACTATCACGAACAAGGTCAATGGTCTAACGACTACGGCATGCACGACTATGAGTACACCCCCCCCTCTCCCCTTCCCTCCTCTCGAGGACGCGTGGTCAATGGTCTAACCGCTAAGGTATGCAAAACATGAGAACGCCCCGCCCCCCCTCGTTGCTCCTCAACCCTCCTGTCGTTTCAGACACCGGGTACCGCTGCATGCGCATCGGCTACGAGGAATTCAACCCTCCCTCGTGGCCAAGCACTTGCGCGCCCGAAAAGGAAAACTGGGTTCTCATGCCCAACTCCTATATCGGCTCGTTTGGTCTCTGTGGAACAGGCGCCGCCTACCCGGAAGAATTGTGGAACTGTGCCGGTACGTCCGGTGGTCTAGCCTCGTCTTCCTTTCGTCGCTTTTACCTTGTTTGGTGTGTGTTTGACCGAAACGTTATCTCTTTGTTCGTTCTATCTCTCTCGCGCGCGCGTGCTTCTTCCCGTGTTTGAAGTTTGTAGACGAAGAATGATCTTCTCCTTCTTACCCTCCAACCCTGGCGTGCTTCGACAGCAGGAGCCTTGGTTGGGCAACATTCGCCCGCCAGTGGCCGGTCGTTAACCTCACCGCCTGTACCCAACAATTGGTTTGGGAGCACAGTACAACGGGCCTTTCATATTCGTATACAACGAGAACGAGGCAGTTCTCTTTTTAAACGTGATTCCAGGGCTGGCTGACGACAGCAACAAACGGTTCTCCATGTGATTGGCGTGTTCAGCCTCACAGTGTTTATAAACCCCCTCCGCCCCCCCCCACCTCTCGGTGCTCGCCCGCCGTCGCCCACGTCCTCCCTGCCGTCATCCTCTCCTATTCGCTGGCATTCCTACCAACTCCAGATGTCGAGATCACGTCAGGTAGGTGTGTAATGTAGTACGTGAAGAAAGCTTGATACGTTCACAGGGATTCCGGTATTGGTCTGTTTTTCTTTGCACTCTTTGCCTACACGTCCGATGTTCGCCCTTCTAGAAAAAAGAGTGTGCCGGTATTGTCTTGCGTGCGGCGGTGGCTTCGTTAGTCAATTGCTTCCGTTGTCATGTTTCACACCCATCCAGTACAGTGATGATACGGTACGTTTTGATGCTACTGCCGTACGCCGAGCATCCCTTTTACCTAAAAAGCCACCACCACCCCTCGCGCTCTTTTTCGTTTCGAAACCGGACGGATCAATCGAAGTAGAGGACACACAGACTGAAGACGACTGCGAAGTGAAGACGATGATGCCGGCCGGTCGACCTTCATTGATCATGGATGTTTCGCCGACACCAAGACCGAGCGCATCATGACGTGGATGTCTCTCAGTGACGCGCAGAAAGACGAGATGACGGGCGAGGTATGTGCTACTTCGCTGTTAGCTTGTTGATCTCGCCTGAATGCGTGCACATAGACAATAATGCTCCAGAGTAGACAAATATGTTCCAAGGAGTCTCAATACGCTTGGTTTGGTCACAGGAAACGAGCGGCCGCTCAAGAGAGACAGGCAGGGATACAATCACAGATAGTAGGACCGAATCGACGCCATTTTGACTACGACGTAGCCGCGACTGTTTCATTCTGTGCCTGACTGCTTCATGAGACGGAAAAGTATGCATATGCCGTTAAATCCCGGAACGAAAGGAGGCGGTATCCCAGGGCAGCTGCGCTAAGTATTTCGTCCAGAGGGCCGTTCTCCATCGCGTTTGCTTCCGAAACGGCCCCCCACGTTTGGACATGTTTCATGTGTACCCCCCACATATTACATGTCATGTCCGTAAACACCTGCCACAGCCCTGCTATGCAAATTACAGTGGGGTTCCTTTTTTCATCACTGACATCGGCAACCACAGGAATTCCCCCCTTCCCTTTCCTGGACATTCCCCTCTGCTGCTGCGCCTTGCCTGCCACTTTACGTGCCTGACCCCGTCGTTCATGCAGCTGTGCATGAACATCTGTACCGAGGGCGGGTACAAGTACTCCGGTACCCAGACTGCTTCCAATGCTTCTGCGGGGGCGAGGACACGGACCCCCTCAAGCATGGCGAGTCCATGAACTGTCGTTCCCCGTGCTCGGGAGACAAAAATGAGATGTGCGGCGGGGTCTGGTGCATGTCCGTGCGTGAAATGCGATGAAGTTGGAAGGTACCGGGGGGTTTGGAATCGTAGGTGCGTGCGGGTTCGTGCTTTTGTACGACACGGCCCTCCGCTTACGTAAGCACAAAATGGAAGAGCCTCTTCCGGCGAACCTGGCGAAGGCCGTTGGGGAGGCGAACTTGGCCGTGTGTAGCATCGTATTTCCATGTGATAGTTATGGCGAGGGAATCGTCCACTCTTCGAGGTCCGACCTTTGTAGGTAGTAACTTGGTTCACGTCGAACCGGTGGCAGAGGGGCTGAGCAGGTGCCTACACTATTTGGGACGCCCTTCCAGAGGTTGCTGGTATTCCCAGCTGCTGCTGCCGCTCTATAGCTAGTTCATGGATCGCTTGCTTCTTATTGTTGTACTGTATTTCTCCCAGGATGGGAAGAATTTTTGGAAAGGGTTGGGTTTTACAGGCTGTTCGATCTAAATCAACACTAACGGAGAGCGAGAATCCGACGTTTGCTTGCATTGCAGTAGTGTCGTTGTAGTTCATTCAGAACTTCGCCGGTTGATAGTGTACATGTCGTCACCTGAACGGTGTTTGCCGCGAGGGGGGTCTAGCTAGTGCCGGGACCCGTGTACTCAAGGGTAGCTAGTCTTAAAAGTCCACTTCCTTGTTCGTTCCCACCGTCGAGTACCTAGGAATGTGCTGTAGCGTCGTCCACTGATGGCATGCTTCTTTCCGGCAACGATGTCAAGTGGTTGCGTCCAACAAATAGGCCGGGAATGTCGGTACCCAATCTAATTGTATTCAACCCGTCGACGACTTGGGTTCACATGTGCCAACTCTATAACCCGGATAATTTCCAGGCAACCCGCCCCATCCATGCCTTGCATGGTTCCCGATCTGTTCCTATGTAAGTAGCACTTTTATGATCTAAACTCTATAACGCGGATACGTTCCAGGCAACCCGCCCCATACCTTGCATGGTTCCCTATCTGTTCCTAGGTAAATAGCACTTTTACGATCTAATCGCATGGGGATACCTTACCAAACGTCTCTTGAAACATTCCACTAAATGTAAGCATGGGCACACCGCAAGAACCTTTACTCCTGTCCCCCCGAAAGGGTTTCAGCTTGTTGCCTAGGAACAGAAATTTCAAGAATCGTGGTTTCCACAGATGAGGGAATCGCGGCACGTTGGCTCACATGCGTTGCGCCGAACGCTGTGCAGACGAGATACCCCCTATCTCAACACTGTCATGCTGCATTATACGCAGTGTAAAACATTTCTGGCTGCCTTGTGGCCCCCCGCGACCACCGCCAGGCGACAGCGCCGCAAGAAAATCGGTACCAACGCCGGTCTTCACAGGCAAGATCACAAATGCAATTCGTTGGGGACGACGCTATACGGCGGGGTGAATGCTCGCATACCGTGCCTCCGCGGCAGCCGCCAAGTCAACATTGGCCAACCGGAGACTTGCCCTGCTGGGGTCGATCAGCAGGAACCTTGTTGTCGTGCAAGCACCGGTGTTGCCGTAGGCAAACGAAACACGGGGGAGGATGCTGTCACTCGATGAGAAGGCTTCGAGGTAGTGGTGTTCGGGGCATTTCTGTATGTACGACCTCCTGACCCTACATGACTGGATACTCGTCGGACTCTAAGAAGCACGTGTTAGATTCTACTTCCCGACGTCGTCAACTTTCTTTCGGGAGTGAGAGTGACATTCCACCACCATCTCGAAGGTGGGCGGCGGGGTAGGGTCAGACGAGTGGATGGAGCGTACCTCGTCGCCACGCAGTGCTCGTCCGGAATAACCAGGAGACGGTTGTTCCGCTTGTATTCCGGTCTGCGTGTGGTGATGAAGAAACCGGCGAGAAGGAGAGGCAATTACAAATTTGACGAACGAACAGGGGAAGCTACTGCTACCAGTGTAGTATTATACATTCCACAGAGGTTGGTTGACAGTGAAGGGCACGGGGATAAGAACAACGCGGGTAGCATTCTGCCCTCTCTCAACCTGAAGGATGGAGCTCAGCGTTGGTGGCGCGTTATTCGCAACGCTTTCGTGAATGGACCAAGGGGAACTGCTCATCTCATCAAGACGTACCAGTACAAAATACCGCTTGCTTGTGGGAGATAGCTACAACGCCCAAGGAGAGGCGAAGCGCCACATACTCTTAATGCCGTCCTCAAATTTTGCGGGTGAATCGGCCAGTTTTCAACCAATCAGAAGAGTCGAATCGCCCACATGGCTTGGTTTCGAGCCTACCAAGTACCGACCGAGTACTAAAAAGCAATTCCTTACCTGTCGATGACTTCACATACAGCAACTATGGGGGGTGCTTTCAGTGCGTTGACGGCGGGTGGGTTCAACCTGTTCCCGTGCCCACCGCGACCGCCAGATGCAGCGCCTTGCGTCGAAGGGCTTCCAACAAAGGCAGGAGCAGGAGCAGCACCGGTAGCATTTGCAGCCGTGCTGGAAGCAGCGGCACGGGAAGCCTTGGTGGTAGCACGACCAAAAACACGAGAAGCAGCACGAGAAATGGCAGCAACTATGCCACGGTTGGTAGCTTTGGGTCTTGCCGCAGTGGCAGGAGTAGCAGCGATTCTCACGACTGGCCGACGTACTTCCAGCGTGTAGGAAAGCGACGCGCCCAGAGTACGACCCATGTAGATGCCCTTGCCGCAAACAGACCCGTTCGACATGTACTCCGAGCCTGTCGTTGACGAGGGGGTCAGGGTAGAAATGTGGGAAATCGTGCTCGCGGGGGGCATGTCTTCTCGGCACGCATGAACTTCAGAAGGGGGTCCCTTCCGCTTGCTCGTCCACACTCGCTGTCATTGTTGCTGGCATATACCGCTTGTGAAATTCTAGAGTGCATAGAAGGTAATTTGTTCGCGAATACGCACGCAGCGCCGCAAGTACACACACACGCACGACAGGGTGAGGATGGATGCAACGGCAATGAGCGTCTGTGCTTATTGTGTCACAAAGTAAAAGAAAGAGGAGCGGTGCTTGGCTGAAAAGAAGAGAAAACGAAACACCAGATGTTGGTGGCCAAGAACAAATCAGGTTGGTGACCATGTTGTTCCTTGCTCAAAACGGGCGCTTCGGACGAGCGAATCGGCAGTGGAGACAGATGGAGGAAGGAAAGAGGGCGGACGGAGCACGTAAGCGGATTTAGAGAAATAGAATGGGCCAATCTCTTTCAAACCGTGCCTAGAGTAAGTCCTGTCAATCTCGTAGCACGAACTCTGTAATAAGGGCGTACGTTGTGGTGGCACCTTCCGCAGAGACGATGAGCCGCTAACTGGGGAACAACCACACGGCCAACATTTTCCCTGGCACCACGGACCTGGACTGACCGTCAGACGGACAACCAACGCAGTCCGAGAACATACGTTCGTGTTCATCGTCGTCTGCAGCACCGCGGGAGATGGAACACACACCTGACATGTTCTTGATACCCAAGCGAAGGATCCCGTGCCAGTTGCCCGGAGCGCTGCCGTGGAACGCGAAAAATGATCCTGTCCCGTTCGACGACGCCGCTGCCTCCCGCTTCATCGCCTGGAAACACTCCTCTCGCGCTGAAGTGTCTTCACGATTGTTGCGGCGCAACCAGAATAACGAAAATCAAATTCAGAGAGTTGAAGCAACGACAACCGTGGCAAACGGGTTCGAAGCGTGCACGTTGATTTCAGATAGGCCGCAGCGATCTGCAAGAGTCTCCAGTCGTCCAGCAACGCACTTAGTTTCCGTCGAAGAGGATTCATTTCGGAGGCACAGCGCGACAAAATTAAGGAATGTTTGAAAACACGCTTGGGACAGACACATAACGCGGAGGCAACTGAAAGACCTGGGTGGAACTATCAACAGTGATACGCAATATGTGAACGGCAACGGCAGCACCGGGTATGCGTGAGATTAGACTTATCTCGGTAGTCAGCGAAGGCGTCACCTTACGGGAAAAAATGGTGGCATTCGAAGGGGGTCTGAACTGCGCACCTGTAAGCACGAACTGCTTCTTGCACGAAACCCCCTGGATAGCTTCAGCTTCCTTCAACAGGTGCAGGTGTCCTCCGTGAATCCTGAAAGAAAAAGAAGGATGAAGCGTGCAAAGTGTTGTGGAGAGCGTAGCGTATCAGGGCCCAAACGGGGAGCCCAACTACACACACGAGAAGCAGATGATAGAGTTGACTCGCTAATAAGGTTGCAGTCCGCAAACAAGCATGCAAACAAGGCCTCAACAAAAACGAGTTCCAATGAATAAGACGAGACACGACGTTTTGGCAATCCATTCGTTGCGAGAATCTCCGCCCGACGCACGTAAGGCTAATCATTTATTCCAACAACACTATTAATAGCTCCAATTCAACCACTCACGTCGACAGCAGCCACTCCAGCAGGGGGTACAACAGCTGGTCGATTTTCGACAACGCCTCCTTCAGGGGCGAAACCTCTCCGGAAGGGGGTTCCTTTGCCTCGGCGTCGCTGCCCTCGCCACGTCCCGTGTCATCGTCGACACCAGCGACAGCCACCCTAGCTCCAAACGGGACCCCGACACCACCACTAACACCACCACCACCACCCACTTGACAAACAAAGGATGACGGCGAAGAAAGCTCTCCGATGCTGTCATTCTTCTTCTCCTCGTTGCCAAGGCTTCCCTCCCCCCTGATGCAACGTTGCATGTCTGCCACGGACGGCAGCGCGTTCAGCACCAGACGCACCTGGGTGTTTTGTGCATTTTCAGGTGTGATCATCATGGTTGTTCTGAAGACGATGTATGTGTGTTTGTCCATCGGCTGGAGGAAGGCGGGCGCGGAGGGGGGTGGATAGGAGCTCTGTGCCATCGTGTTGAAGCTATTCAAACAAAGCACAAAAAGGGGCGAATGACGTCGCCTGTGGCCTCTGCAAGACTCCAAACACGCTGCTGTTGTCCGTGGACGTACGAAATGTAGTGGTGTCTTGTGATCCATCCGTCAATCGTTGCGGACCCTGGTTGGATTCTTCGACGGGTCCAGATTCGTCACGTGCGGGCATGATCACCCACACCGCTCGTGTGGGCCATCGAGACATACGGCCAGTGCTGACGAGTAACGTTACATACGCCCACGTGCCGACATCCTCACTCCGACGTTTTCGCTCAACGAGAAAAACATCGACTCAATTCTATGAAAGTGCGTTTTAGAAGGCTTCTTTGACGGATCCAATGTGAGTGACGAATGATTCCGCCAAACGTAAGTGCACAGCTGCCTCGTTTTGAGAACTCCTCGGCGGATGGGTGATAAGATATATTCCCTCTCACTTTTTCGATGACGCTCTTGGTCCTCTTGCGACCGGTCCCCCGAAGTCCGAACACCTACGCATGCACACATGACACGTCGCGGCGAGGGCATGTTGACGATCTCCATGACACGACACACCAACAACTACGGACTTGTCCAGGGTTGACGTTACCAACCACAGCACAACTCGTGGACCACGAATCCGTCCCAAACCCCGGTCATGGCAAACGGCGGCACTCGTGTCAACGCGTCGCTGACTTTGGCCGTCGACCTACTCCCTCCTTGAGTCTTGTTCTACGAACTCTCCTCAAATACCAGCCGATAGCGCATTGTTTCGCACCCATGAGAATCCTGGCATTCACCCCATGAAAGATGGACGCCGTGCCACGAAATTTGTACCTTCCTGTCGAGGGGGTATGTCACGGCGAACGCCTAGCGTCGTTTCGCTGACAGCTCTCGCTGGTACAAGAAAATATCAGGCATTCTCACCGATGGTTCTCTTGCTTCTTGAGCACAAATCGGAGACTCCAACAGGTTGCACCAACACCAGCACCGACAACAGGACGACAGCCACAACAACAACAACAACAAAAACAACAACAAAACAGCTGATCTCCTTCCTCACCGCATCCGGAAAGCCTAGCTCGGGCCGAGTGCCCTCCAAGGCTCTACGGAAGAGGTTGATCAACAGTTCCACCACCTCGCCGTTGTTGAGCACCTGTTATTACCGGAAAGCGTGCGCGCCGCTGTTGTTATTGTTTGTGGTGGTGGTGCTGTGCCATCAGTCTTCACTTTAGTCTTCGTCTCCGTACAGAAACACCGAAAATTGTCCTGGCCTACGCGCCCAACGACAGTATACTTCCATCCAACCAGTGAGGCAGAACTGCCTTCCGTCACAAAAAGCGCAAAACAGGCGGAACATTTTCTTTGCAAAGGAAACCCTTCGATGTGTACGGAGGTGTCCATCCAATGTTTTCACTCACCTGTCCTTCTACACCTCCCGCAGGACTTACGAGGACGATGTCCGACGGCGCCTCGAAAAGCTGTGGCAGAAGAGAAAATTAAAGGCGGACGCAGGCACGCGCCAAGTGTTAGAAGGTGAGAGCTGCATCCAAAACCACGAAAGCGGTGGAACGGGGTGAAAGATATTAAAAGGGAAAAACATTGCAACGAGCACACGAATATCCTACTCGCGCGGAACGGGCGTCCCATGGACGTAAATGCGGGTGGGTTGCGTCAACATGCGGCATATGCGGGGGTAATTTCGCCACAATCGTTTGCATCCCACCCCAACGCATCTCCCCTTCAACCCTCGTATCAGCAAAACCGGAAAGCGCTCCAACGCTTCTGAGTCGGTGAAACTCCGCAGAACGGGGAAAAGGGATATCAAAACCGAGCCAAACGCGCGGATCGATAGGGGCGACACTCCAAGAAGTCCCTCGACTACGCGTCGATCGAATGTGGATGACTCGGGGCCACCTCTAGACTAACAGAAGATCAAACGAACGACGGATGTTTTGGGCACGTAGCCAAGCACACACCAGCAGCAAGCGCTGATACCTTCTTTCGCACAACCTGCCTCGCCGGGGACATGGTGGGCGACTGGGCTTGATGAAACTCGAAGGTCCAGCGCTTCCGTCTCTCCAAAACTCGCGAGGTCGATGTACACAAGCGCTGCGTTGGTAGTTGTCGGACGATGGGCAGGGGAGGCGAGCGAGGCACAGCCAAGAAGGCAGGCAGACAGACCGTAAACCGGGTGAGGACAGCAGATCACCCATTGTGTGCGAGTAGGGTTCGAGAGAGAGAACCTGGACCTGCTCAGCACAGTCATTGCCTCCGAACACTTCCTCCAGGTCCTGGGCTGCGATTCGATGCGCGGCTCTGACTCTTCGCGACGAGTTTCGTGCCCCATACATCGGCCCCACCTGGTGGCACACGGTCGGCATCGACACGGTGTGCCCCTGTATTTGGTCGCCGCAAACCAGGCAGGTCTCGACGATGTTCTTCAGCCCTTCGATCACGGTCAACGCCGCGCAAACCTTGGCATCAAACAGGTCGAAACGAGAGAGGGTGAATGGGAGTACGAGACAATAGAGTGGCATTCAGCACATAGGGAACAGTAGCACCAGCCTGGCGGTCCAGGCCTAAATACATGCCTACACGTTTCATATCGAACACGGTCCAAAACGGCTCGCAGCACAACAACAACAACAACAACAACAACAACAACAACAACAACAACTCACCAACGGGTTTGTTTTGGCGAGCGTCTGCAACTCAGCCCTACGGTACTGGTCTAACAGATCGTCGCCGTCACCGGCCTCCCCCTTCGGCTGAAGCAGCGGGTACAACAGAGGCTGCGCCAGCGCCATGCACACCAGGTAGTCACGTTGCAGCTCGATAGACCCAGGATGGGCCGCAACTGCGTCAAAGCAAGATACCTAAGGGGCGGGTTGGATGAGGGTTTCACAGAGCGAAAGAAACGGCGTTTCCGTGATTGAGCTGTTTAGACCTGCCATGTATTCGGCTGTTCATGCCCGCTGGGGTAGCGAAGCTAACGCGAGTCCGCCTCGGTTAAGAAACGATTGGCTGCTCGAACACACTGTTGCCGTATACATTCATGCCGTGTCGACGCCGGAAAAAACAGAGAAATTCGCAGGGATGGTCACACAACACCGGCGAATCAAACCCTGCAAGACGCCACAACTACCGTTGAAAAAAAAAAACTAACCTTGTGGCACGAAGTATTGGGCGAGCCTTTGCTGGTTTCCTGTCTTCAAGGCCTCGCGAGCCCTGTCTTCAATCTTGCTAGGCATTGCGGTCAACTCAGCAATGTAGGCATCGACAAAAAATCGCATTTCTCTTTAAGGCTTCAAGTGGAAACCAACGATACCATTTTTCCAAACCTTAACCTGTTGTACCTCCTTCTACAAATGTTTTCGTTGAACGCATTCACAACCGAGACTCGCCTCGTCAACCTGTGGAAACCTCCCCTTCAGCTCAGTGAACTCCATGAATGCTGCCTTCAGCGCCGGTCGCTGTTCCTCGTCCGCAAGGCAAAGCTGTGCCTTTTGCTCGTCGTTCTGAAATGGGGGAAACGAAAGGGGTTGGAACATCTCTATCGTATCGTTGTTGCAAGGTTGTACGGCTACGGATCGTGCTCACACAAAACTTTGCAGCAACATACCTACGTGTTGTCCGCACGCTGAGCGTAGTTAGACGCCACGAACTAACGCAGCCTCGTCATCACACCACTACCGTTGCGCCCATCATCCCGTAGCACCACTCCGGTAGCACCCTTCCCAAGGCACCTTTGAGATCCGCAGAACATAGGCAGCAAGCCCCGCCGACACCACCGTGGACTCGCAAATCATCTTAACCGCCCGACGTATTGCAGCGCTGTCAAGCTTCCCCCCGCCCGTCTCCTCGTTCGCCCTCCCCTCTCCTGCCGTCGTCGCCGCCGTTACCCCACCCTCTCGAACTTGGGATCCACCGTCACGGCAGACATCGCCGCCCATCTCTTGCTCGGGTCGGTCTCCTCCTTTGACGTGTTCGTCGCTCGTGCGTGATACCCTCTTGCCTTGGGACCAAGCTCGCGTCAACTGGGCCTGTATCTTCCCGCAGAGCATCCACTCGTGCGGGAAAGTCTTCCCGGTGCTGTTGGTGGGTCGTCCGTGTCAGTGATTGGGTTTGTGGTTATTGTGGTCATCGTCGTCGTCGTGGTTGTTGATATGGTTGTTGGACGATACTTCACGTCCCCCACCATGCGGTGGTACATCGAGATATTCAAATGTCCCGAGTTTATTATTTTCTTTGTTGGACTTTACATCCAAGTAATTCCAATATATTCTTGCGCGAGCGATGGGATATATAGTCCTTCGGTCCTTGGATTGTTGTACCCAAGGGCTAGGGTCAGGTCGTCGCCACGGAAGGTCAATGATTGACCTTCGAAGAGCAACACAGGAGGGAACGTCAAAACAACGACGAAGAAGAAGGAGAGGGAGAAGAGGAGGAAGAAGACGGTAACAGGGCGAATGCATGAAGGGTTTTTTGTGTCTCCAGTCGTAGACGAACACGAACCCTATGACTCATCTAGCATGGTGGAGCCTTGATCCACACGCACGAGGACTCGCGCAAGCCAGACACACCCTGTAGAGCTCCGTTACAGTAATAGTTCTAGGGGGGCATCCCTTCGATAGAAAGCCTCTACCCGGCCAAATTCAAGCCATGCACAGAATGTAGCCCTCACCTTCCGTAGGTGTCCATTTTCTGCTTGTCCATCGCCGTCGGTGCCACCTGCCTTGCCCACTTCACTTGCGGGATCTTGCCTGACGACATGTAGTCATGGGGGGTGGTGAGCATCACCTGCATGTTTGAGGCGCGAACGGCATGAGCGATGTGCACAGCAATCGCGCCTCGAACGAATTGCATATTGCTACGTGTAAGCATAGGAACACCTCTGGCGCCGTTACCGATACCTGCTGCTTCTCCTTCGGACGATTGTAGCACTTTGAACAATAGCCATCAAAACCACGCCCCGCGATGGCCGCGATGCCAGAAGGAAACTGGGCTCGCGGTGAGATTAATTCGCCCCGCTCGTCGCATGAGACCACAAACGGACGGCCTCTCCTTCGAAAACACCCCGCAGCAGAAACACATGTGGTGTGAAAGGGTTACGAATCATCCCTCGCGTTCTCCTTACCACCACTCCTTTGCTGGGATCCAGGCCGACGGTCTTGACACAAGTGCCAGGAGCACGGCCCTCGGAAAGCCTCCGAGGATCGACATAAACCCAGACATTCGTCAGGGTCGGGGATAACTGGACGCTCGCGGATATACCGTCCACGCCGTCGATAAACTCGTCCGCATCAACTTCCGCGGGATGCTGCGCAAAAGCGTGCGAGGCGGTGCAGGTGCAGCGGGTTGGAGGGGGTAGCGCGGTTAGGGTATCATTCCGTCGTCGAGGAGCAACTTTGCAGCAGCGCAGAGGTGAAAAGAATGCCCTTGCGGCGTAGGAAGGGAGGGATTTGTGGAAGCTGTACGTGACATGGGGCGTGGTGTATTAGGTGCAAGTCGGTATTGAAGTGGTTGCCGGCATTTTCCCTTTCCCAGGGTGATACGCCGCGTGCCTCTTTCTTGTATGCTAGAGATGCAACTCTTTGACACTTCGACAGCTCCAGGGGCTGGACACAACATACTCCGGTCATCTTCCTGCCTTTTTGCACACCTTTGTGCGAGGTAGACTATGTTGTATGGTACGGAAGAGCTCTGGGAAAATACTTTAGGGCATGCATAACAAGTGGTTGCGAGGAGATGTCAGTGTTCAACCACTGGCGGCCGAATACATGGGGGCAGAGAACACGCACAAACAACCTACATTTATATCCCAAAGAAAAAGTACTGTATCTCGAACGGGTACATTTTTCTGTGAGGGAATGTAGCATTAGAACGAGGAGAAGCAATTCTTGAAATCACCTTCGGCCATTCCCCTCCACATTCGCATTCCGAATCCGAATCAGAGTAGTTGTAGTCATCGGAATCGCTTCCCCGCTGATCCGAACCGTAGTCGCCGCCATCGTCAGAATCCAGGCATCCCTCTTTAGCTACCACTGGCGCGGCATCCGCTAGTTTCGTGTTATTTTTTTGCGCCGGCCCTCTTTTCTCAAATTTGAAACAAACGAACGATCGATCAGGGTTGGGCGTGGTTGAAGATTGGTTTATGTAGTTCTCCGCGGCGCATGCGCGCTGCGGTGCGAGCTGCGAGGGTTACAGGCAAGCTCCGGGGGACTGCGTGCGGATGCACGAGAGACAGCTATGCTATCTGTGCCTTCTGCTGTGCTGCGGAAGGCCGGTGCAGACTACAGGCCACATCGGTAGGACCCACAGTTCAAAGGTAGACTATGTGCCAGGTGTAGCCTACAGCTAGGCTGTGTAGGCTGTTTTAGGTACAGCAGTAGTTAGAGTGTCTGCGAATACGTATGAAGGACATCCGGATGAACTCCATCGACTTTCAACACAAGAACTCACTCTCGTCCTTCAGCTGTGCCATCTTCCGCCACGGCCACCCCTGGCAGGAAGGACATCCGCACTTGATCATTCATCGAGGCTGCCATCCGCAGGCAATCGCTCCGCTGCCCTTACCGGCAAAAACCTTGTTTTCGTGCAAGGACTACCAGATTTCGCAGGTGCGGGAGGCGGACGGAATTGGCTCGACTGTGTGAAGACGAATGTATGGGCCCTTCACCCGCTCGTGATCACCTTCCGCTCGCCTCTTGTTTTATTTCAACCTCTTGGACTCTGTTCCAAGAGTGCCCAGCGGAGCGAGGGGAAGCAAGCATGTTGAAACAATGGTTGGATGGGAACAAGAATCTTCTTTGAAATTTCAGCGGGTGCTGGTAGCAGGGGGCTCTTCTGCCGTCGATCTGCACCACTTCCTCTTCACGCGCACGCCTGATAACGTGGTGAAGCCAGTGGGTGCACGTGATCCTCCTGTCCTTGTACAATCAAGAGCCAGTGATTGGAGGGCGTAGCGAATCATGCGTATCTACCTATCTGCCGTAATTGTTGGACCGATCCAGAGAACAGTCTCCGATTTCCAGATTCCGCCGCAATGTGTATGGGTACGCAGGTGTTTTTTTCGCGGTTTGCGGTTTTAAAGCTGCAACGCGGAGCAAAGAACAGGCCTGGTGCCTTCCGACGCAAGGGCGGGGACAGCAACGGCGAGGAGATCACGCCTAATATTGTATCGTAAATGATGCGATGTGTCTTTTACGTACTACCGTGTACACACAGTAGTACGCGAAAGATCTGTGTTCAGAAGACCTGTGATGCCCCGATCGGCCGTAAAACCACCCGCCTTGAGAGATATTCCCTCGGTGTTGCCCCCCTGTAAGAGCAATGTACACGTAAGCCCTGCTGTTATTTATGGTTACAACTCTGGGTTATTCCGAGGAGTGTCTACTGCTGTGACTATTTCGCTAGGTGGCGGCAACAAGTCTCTCCATCCAACTCCAACAGCAACGCTGTGGCCAAGCGGTAAAGGCCACACAGCATTTCCAAGCGCTTTCCTTACTTTTGAGTGACATTCGTCAACTCGCCGCTTCAGGGAAGAGACGGAAGGCGGCGGGGGGTTGCTGCAAATCCCGAGGAACTGCGCCGCCGCGAGGTGTAGTCTGTGACTTTGACACCAACCACGCAACGGAACCGCGGTGACTGGGAAAAATTGAGGCGAACCAGGTGAGCGAATGTTGCCCTGTACCGGTAGCTGTTATTCTCTGCTGCAGGAGCCAAATAACAGAGCCGATGAGTTTCGTCCACCCATTCCGAGTGACAAAGGTTGGAAGACATGTATTCGTGAGGTTGGTCAACACGTCCTGTCTGTACAGATGGCAGTGTGCCTGTGGGTCTTGGTTGGGCTCACCTCGCCTCCCACTGGCTGTTGTCTCGTGTTCTACCCCGTGTAAAGCTCTGGTTAAGAGGGTTGCCGGATGACTCTGCTACAATGTGTCACTCTGCCGATCTATCATGTTGCCTCCTCCGAGAGCAAGATACAATGTCGATTGTTTACAAGGAACATCGAATTGTACCAATGTGTACCCGAGGGGCCAAGGGGTGAACGGGTTTGACATATGGCACATGCCTACTCGATAGATCCTCTCCGTGAAGGGTACCTGCGTACAGCAGCGTCTGTTGTTGTGACGTCGAAGTTTCCTCTGGTCTCGAATCCACGGCTTTAGTGCAACCAACTGACTGCAAAATTGCCGCTTCAATTTGATGGTATTTGGAGCTGTTGTCTTTCACACATGGCAATTCGAGAGCGAACCAGCCTCTTTCTTCTCCACGATGGAGCAAACAGCATTGCAACCAATCTCGAACCCCAGATCAACACCGACAACGATGACCCGCTGCCACGATGCTCGCCACATCAGCACGGGGGAAAAGGAGGCGACGGGCAGTGGTCACCGGGAAGCGGGCAGCGGGCAGTTGGGGGCGTTTCAGCGGCGGGGAGGGGGGAGACCATTCGACGGCAGCGGCAGCGGCAGGGGCGGGGGCGGCGGCGGCGGCGGCCACTTGAGAGGCAAGCCGTGGCAAGGATGATTCCTCGCTCGGCTCTCCTCACACACCAGGAATACGAGAGGCGAGGATGCTAGTTTTCCGGAGCTGCTTGCGCACCAACAGCGCCAGCCAGGCGACGACGCGTTGGAGAGCGGGGCGAGGGGAGCCGAACCGATTGTGGGGTGGGGTGGGGAGGTGGTAAAAGATGGACAATGAGCAGAAGCACAGGAGATAGGGTATTTCCTAGAGACCCTCGCTTGCACCAGACGGCGAGTCGTTTCCTCACTACAACTTAGTGAATCTGTGGAAAAGGAATGGAGGTGACTGGAGTTGGTCTCTCTACAACCCATTTCGCTCGTATCTGCAACACTCGCGCCAGTGTACTACCTGCAAAGAACCTTTAACTCGTACTGGCATAATGGAAACAGAAAGATGCTACGGAGGAACGGGACGGGAAAGAAAAGCACATGCAGTGTCATTACCCCTGTGCTCCCGGAGCGTCCAACATGCAACACAGGGCTGTTGCCGCTGGCAGGTGGTCTCGCATTCGCCCGGGTTCGTCATACGGTGTAAACCCCCCCCCCCCGCTTGCTGCCGAATCGTTCAATCGTTGCTCTAGGGCTCTTGAACGACAAGGAATGCGTATTACGGTGTTCGCCGCTACCCTTTAATGCCTAGTAACTCCCCTCTCTCCTGCCATATGCTTCCGTGGGCGAAGCTTGGCTCAACGACTCTATCTACATTGAATAGGAGTTTTTCGGCCTTAGCACCCTACAAAATAATATTTTTTCGGTTTGTAGCCGCCACGTTGCCAAGAGGTGAGAGGCGTCATCGTCCTTCCGCGAGCACCATCGCGATTAGTTGTGCCTCCTCTCTATCGGCTGCCAACAACCTTTGCTGCCGGTGACCTCTCTCTTCCCCCATAGCGTCAATCTGCGCCTGTGATCGACAGGCATTCGGACACGGAGATTGCTCTTCTCATTGCGATATCGGGTTCGTCAGGTGGCACCCCAATATGCCTTGCTTCCTAGATGCTCGTGTGCGGGGGGGTGGATGGACTTCCTTGTGTCCTCTTCTGTCATTCGAACAGTCCGGCTTTTCAGCGACTCAATCCCAAGCTCAAAGAAACAACGAGAAGCAAAAAGTAACAGTTGACACCCCGAAACGACCACCAAGAAATTCAAATATAGCCCCGCTACGACGGCCGTGCTTTCGACGACCAGCCGGCTGGCTATCCTCACAGGACTCCTGACGTCAAACACGGAGACACACACACGCACACCTCCATCCGTATTCTCTGCCGCCGTGTCCACTTCTTCGCGGCCTCCTTCTGCGCGCTAACCTGCGCCCCCACCGCCGCAAACGCCTCGTCCAGCCTCTCGAGCTCCGTCGCCGCCCCCCGTGCCCAGTACCCCACGTCGCCATTTTTCCCCAGACCACCACCCGTCCGCCCGGCCACCTGCGCGGAGTTCTGGCCCCCCGCCCCGCCTGCGGACGATGCCCTCCCCGTCTCCGGCTGGAAAACCGGCGCCGTGTGGATGAGCCTCGACTGTCTCGCGAGAAGGGGAGGTCGGCGGGTGTGCACAGCCAAGAGATTGGGTGAAACTGAGGGAACAGCGGCGCCTTCATTGTGTACAGAATGGGCCCGCAATATCGATGTGTCTAAGTCGGATCGAGGCTCGATTTCTTTGTTCGCTGCCACCGTGTCGGGCAGAGGTATTTCTTGACCCTGTTTTCCCTATTTGTGGTACAAAATTGAGTCTCGTTTCGATCACGGATAATTATTTCCTTGTGAGGCTGCTCTGTATTTGATGCTGCCGGTACCATCGTGATGCTACCGATACTTCCGCGGTTTCCCAGTGTTGCTACGTGCCGGCTGACTGCGTCGCTTCCTCCGCTGCCTCGACCCCGCCGAAGGAACCGGTGAGAAGAGGGTGAAAAAACCTTGCGACCGCACCGGCAGCTCGCTGTCCCTCGCGAGTGCACCAGAAAAATAACTTCTGCATGGAGGGCACTGTCAATGTTTTCTTCCTTGGTTTGGGGGTATCGCGTGTACGAGCGCAATCGGGCGCCATCGTATATAGCCTTCGGAGTGGGCGAGCGAATTCACAGAGACCGCGTAGGTAAAGGAGAGATACGCACAGTAGGCATTGTCATTGCCGACGGCGACGAGTAGAACAAACTAAACCGCGAGATGGAGTAAGCACAGGGGAGAAGTCATCGGACCAAAGCCATAGCGGCGGTATCGTCAAGCGACTACTAACTCCAAGAACCACTAGTCCACACTTTGACCTGTCTAGTGTTTCGTTCAGTGAAAAATGAGTTTCTGGAGATCACGTTGAGAACTCGTTTGACCACCATTTTCACCTGTTTCTCGCGGCTTCGCCAAGGCATGGAAGACGCCGAAGCAGCATCTGCGACACCAGTCCCACCGCGCGAGCCGTATCTTGCCCCGTCTCCTCCGCCTGGAGTGCTCATTCCCGAACGAGATCGAATTTGATCGCGGTGGGTATCGTACTCCTCTCGGACCTTGATTTCGTGCGCTTCCCAGTCCATCTGGAGCATGTGATTCGTTTGGAAGGGAGGGCAGGAGTGGAGTGTTTTCAGTTGCGCACGGGGTAGAGGTACTCTGTAGTAAATCGCAGTCTCAAAGTGACCTTGCCGTAATGTGTCTTCGCGAGAGGAGGGAATGAGCGAATTCCCCGGCCCTCTCGCCACAGCAATGAGCTCTAAGTGAGCCTCTCTTTGCGCACGAACTACGCCAGACCCCAGCAACTGCCAGAAAACGTTCACCTCCACTTCAGTTTCACCTCTAGTCTCTGGAGCTGGAGACCGAAGGCGTTCTTCAGGTTGAAACGCTCGTCTTCCGCCCACCGCGCGGCCGACGCCGCCCGCATGGCTGCCTCCTTCGCCGCAAAGCCAGTTCCTTCCCGGTGCTGCTGCTGCTGCTGCATCCCGTCGGACCTCCGACGATAGCCATGGTGCTGTTCTTGGTGGTTTGGTAGCTTACTCTCTTCCAATCCCCCGGGAGCGGACATCTGTTCACTGGTCTCCTGGTGGCCGCGCTTCATCGTACGAGCGCAAGTGGAAATGAGCGGCGAAAAGGGGGCGGGGTTGACGATAAAATCAGCTCGGCGTTGCTCCCCTTCGTCAGTCCGTCGAGTGGACGCGCAGACCAAACAATCAAATTTGGTGAATCACGGAGGGCGCCAGCACCAGGCCAGAGCCAAGAAATCACAGTATCACCTGTACGCACACGGACGGCTACAACTACAACATAAAAACTGGAAAGAAACACCACACCGACGCTAGCACCGCATCCAAACGCGTTCCAATTCCAGAATAGCTCTCCACACCCCTGTAGCCTCAACCAGAAGGCACATATTAATAGTAGTGCACCTGTTCTTCTTGAATACGGAGAGATAAGCCCCCGCGATATTGACGCTGTCGTTCAAGGAGAGCCCTCCATCGCTCCTCGCTGTGCTGCCCCCGGAGCTATCAGGTTGAAGCAGCGGGCGAGTGGCGGTGGGGGGGGGGGGTACTCATAGTCACATGCCGTAGTCGTTAGACCATTGACCTCGCATCCCTACAAAGCCGGGACGGAGCACGCCGTGTTCTCACCGGACCAGGCTCTCACATCAACAAGCGCGAAGCGCCGTGAGGTATTCGGCGAGTCGCATGAAGGGTGCGCTGCATCCTGCTAAGGGTGTTCGGCATCTTGTGCTTAAATACTTGCGTACGGATGACAGCTCCGTATGATTTAGTTTATTTTCTGGTGCTTTCACTTCCAGAGACAGCTGTAAGCACTGTGTAACTGCCTCGAGGATGCTTTACCATTTTGACACAGCGTGGTACGATCATCCCCCTTGCGCGGAGTGAGGGCTCTCGACCCCGCACAACATGATCTACTCGACCACCATTTAGGGTTACCGCCAAAAAAAAAACCAGAGGTAAAGAAAAACGGTAACCTGGTTGCCGAGTTCACCAAGTGAATTGACTTGTTTTACAACGTCGTTGCCAAGCGACGAAAACCCAATCCCGATGGCAAACACCGAGGGGGGGGCTTGTTTTACAACGTCATTGCCAAGCGACGAAACCCCAACCCCGATGGCAAACACCGGGGGGGGGGCGGCTTGTTTTACAACGTCGTTGCCAAGCGACGAAACCCCAACCCCGATGGCAAACACCGGGGGTGGCGGTGGAGGGGGGGGTCTAAACCGAAAGCCATGCACGTTCCAGCGGCCGATCGATTAGGCCTGTTGAGTCTTTTTTGTTCCCAGAATCTCTTGATGGTTGAATGTTATTTAGTGTTTCCGCCCTCATATTCTCGCTGATTGATATCTTCATGTTGACCAGCGTCCTGTGGGACTTGTGGCCTACTCGTGTTGCATGCAAGCTCTAGTTCTGCCACCCATGACTGGTTGCCTTGTATCTCTACACATGAAACTCCTCCATTCTTGTGGTGTCGAACCGCGTGACGAGGGTCCTCGCTGGTTTGATACATCCTACCTTGAACACTCTCGCCGTCTCGGAAGCAAGCATTTTTTCCACGCGCTGGCCGAGGCTTCCAACGTCCCCTCCCTGCATAGTTCAAACAGTGACAAGGGGTGCCAAACATGCACGAGCATCGACTCGATATATGAATTGCCTTGAGTTTCACACTCGTTCTTTATGTGACGGCAGGTCGCTGTGTACCTTGAAAGCCGGATACCTGTGCCCACCCGAGCGTGTGCACCACTTCCATCGCACATCCCCTATCACTCTGTCAACCGGCCCAAACAGACCTCCCCGACCACTGCGGTAAATAAAAAACAAAACTATTGCAGCCACGTGTGAAGATGTGTGTGATATTAGATGCTTACCTGAGCAAATATTTCCCCCTCCCTATGCATGAGCCGAAGCAGGTTTTGCGAGTATCCCGTGTGGAACATCTGGTCACGGATTAGAATATAACGGTTCCGGGACGGCTTTCGGGTTGTTACGAACGTGCAAGAATGTGTTGGTAGCACACAACGCAAGGAAGGGCGGCCACTCTTCGAGGCTCCTATCCCAGCACCCGCCGGCAGGGCATATCCATAGCAACGGAACCAAAGAACTATGAAACAAATTGTAATTCGACCGTCACCGAGAGGGACTTCGAATATTGAAGTAGACCGCAAGAACTCGGTTGTTGCGCTGTAAGCAGCAACTCGAAAGCAGAAGGGTTGCACCGCTAAGAGTACTTCTGCACTACATACTCTCGACGCCCGGAGAAGCACCACATGGACATTGACCGCGTTTGAAGCTGCTCCCATCTACTTACATGGTTACTTTCAAGTTCAGCCTCCAAACGGTCACGTTGTTGTCGGTGCACCGCCTTCCAGAGTCCACCACCAAACCAGAGCATGCAGCCGGCAGCAGGTGGGAAAGGATACGCACGCAGACAGAAAAGGATCACCGTATTCTACATGATTCAAACATACAGCCACAGGAACAATTCCGACCCTCTTCAATGCCGCTTGTTGCATGGGTATCTTGTATTTGTTGTTTTCGCAATACACTCAGCTCAGTGGCCTCGTTCATCCTTGGATAACGATACCATTGCTAATCGTTGCCAGGCTCCAAGATCAGTTGGTTGGATTTTGATTCGTCCTCCGTTGTAGAAAAATACGCGATTTCTCCTTCAAACGGATACTTCTAGAAGAGACTCAAGGGTTGCCTACATGTCTACATAGACAAGTCCAACGCTGGCTAAACTCAGAGACCAACTTCTTTCACACAACGCTCGTAACATGTGCATCTATAAAAGCAATAAGTGGGTCATAACTGCGCAAGCGAAAGCAATAATGGGGACGTGGTGACAACAGCCACAACGAACGTTGTGTCGGTTGGAAACTTCATCAAGGGTGTCAGCACGACGGTATGTACACATATGCACTACCTTTCGCTCGGTCGCCTGCCACACCACGAGCCAGAATAATGTACACGTAGGTGCATATGGTGAAAGCTAAACAACACCAATTCGTATTGCCACATGTTAGATGGGTACGTGATGAAAAGGCTACTGCAAAGATGTTTCACCTCTCCCTTCAATACATGTCTGTGAAAGCGTAGACTCGAAGTATGTTGTACTTCAAGAACCATTGTTCATCCAGACACGAACTCACGGCACAGCACCTAAACATCCCAAGCAGAGAGAGCTGGAACGTGCATGATGGAACCTATTGAGGGATGGATACTCGTGTCAATTGCGGAGCCCAAGGGGAAAGATGAGGGCACGTGATGGAAAGCACATGTTTACTCAACAGCAGCCGCACTCCGTAGGTGTTTTTATTATTAGCATCGACCGCGCTAACCAGCTGACCAATGAAAAGACGTCAGTCTTAGTGCGGTTGAAAACACAAAATACTTCTATCTGCCATGAACTGCGACCTCGTGAGAGGGCAGCATGGGGGGGGCTAAACTATCCTTCGGATCAAAGACAGAAACGGCGGCAACAGAAGAACACTGGACGCGTCTACCAAGGCTGTTACCTTGTATTCTAGTTCGTTTAGGAGTATTTTCACCATTATCCTCCTTGTTTTCGCTACCATCATTCTGATCATCATTTTGACAAGAATTCTGGGCAGCGAACTGCGTGCCACAAATGTTGTTCTTCCCTAGACTAGGTGTGCGTGTGTAGGAACCTCGGAAAGACTGAACAGCGAAAAATGCCACTCAACGTACCTGCATTTCTTCAATACGCCGAAGCGCTGAGACTTCCCACTTATCCGAAATTCCCTCCATTGGTTAGGCTTGTTATTCTGAGGAGGAAGGTTGACTGTGGTGCAGCTCCAAGGACGCATGACCTAATGACCACATGACAATATGCGGATAATGAGTCGGACTGTAAAACGCGGCGCAATCAAGTTCCATCAACCGGCACATATTCCCCCGCCGGAGCGCAGAGACAAGAGACACCCAAATCTGCTGTGTGCGCTGGTGACGATAGGCTGCCCCAAGCACGGCGTGGACTTCGGTGATTCCCGCGGGCTCAAGACTAGCCCAGCCACGGTGGAACCCTTACCCTCAGCAGTGATGGCATGAACCTACTACCATTGAACAGCAGGGTCGATAGAGACGCACCGGGGAAAACACAAAGAGCACGAGTGGTGTCTACGGATCGCTTGACCGCTCCAGCTGTGGCCACGACCTAGACCCAGCTCGGGTAATACAGATACCGATTATGGGTCTCCCCCGAGTCTCGTCGCCAGCGAATGGCACCCTGGGTTCAAGCCTGCTGGGGCGTTTACTCGGAACGCCGTCTGATGATGGTTTGGAGTCGTCTAAAGAACCGCTACCACAGCTCAAGTTCACGCCAGGGGACGAGCCTCATACACCCCGGGCAGGGTCACCGGGCTTTCAAAATGGGCAATGGGCAAGTGATTTCTGTCCGGTCTTGGTCATATGCCATATCGCCCAGGTATCTGGCAATGTTCCACTGCCAATATGCCACGTGGGAGGACCAGAACGAGTTGACAAACGGCTGCGTACCACATACCATTGCTTCGAAGTACTGTACAACAACCACCGGAGCGATGCGGATGTCAACGTAAATGCTCACTGTCAAGACTCCAACACATCCCGTTCGACTGTGGTTATATCTCATATGGGTAGTATTTCTGTGTTTGTATTTATTTTTCCTAGTAACCGTGCAGTGCTGATGCGAGAATCGTGAGGGTTGAAAGCCAATTTTGAGTATGTTTTGTCAACCGTTCAGCTCCGAAGAACAATGCTTGTGGATGGCCATCAATACTCTTCTTTATGGTTGCTGGTCGGTGCTTACTCACGTGAGAATGTTGCACTCGTTGAGACACGACGTCCGTAGCGTACCGCAGAGAGAGGTATGATGAAACTCAATGTGTTTGAGCATTCACTCCTCCTCAACAACAGACATATATTTCTCGCTCCTCTCGGCCCTTCGACAAGGCCGTGGCGTTCTTCCTCTGTTCATGTCTTAGAGTTTCCTCGCCCACGAATTCGCAGGTCATCGCACGCCCAAAGCTTGCCACCCCCACCATCTACCAGCACGCACGAAGCCCAGCCAACGACCACAGCTCACTGGGACTCGGCGAGACAACACCTCTAACAACAACGCGTGCGGGCTTCCGTGCGGAAAGCAGAAATCGCAGATCGACGACACGGCAATCCGATGCTTCGTGGAACGTGGACGACAGCGGCAGTTGGGCGCAAGATGGAGACGGGGGTCGGGGCGGCTTTTCCGGAAGAATCCAAGCCTGGGGAACAGACGAGGGATATCAGCTTGACGAGCAGGCAAGATCGTGTACGTCTCTTTCCCCCCTCGCACAGAACCAAACTGTAGGTCCGCCCGATAGAGGTGTCTCTTCAAACACCACACACGGAACATCGACGCCTTCTAACGCACGGAACCATAGTGCGAGCAAGTGTCAAATGTCGCGCAGGATATCATGCCTCGACATCTCTCTCCTTGCCGTGTATTGGACGGTGGTGATGAAGACCCAACGCGGCAAAGAGAGGGTTTGATGTCATTTCTACAAGGTCATTTTCTAGGAAGAGGCACGGGTGGACAGAAAAAGAGTCTGTTTGTCCCGCACACGAAATTAATCCCATGTGCGGTGTGCGCATTTTTTCGTTATCTGTTGTAAGCACCAGCCTCGAACGTCTGGAATTGTGGTTGGTAAACCAGCTGAGATCACACAGGATGAGGGTGCATGCAGGAGGCATTTGAGAGTTCTTGTTCTTTGCTACTTCGATGTGTATATTCTATAACGCGAAAACCATCCAGCTTTCACTTCCGTCATGAGTACGAATGAACGAAGTGTATCAATCCTCCTTCTATCCTTGAATATTGTGATCCTGGTGCGCTACATTTTCAGCTTGTGGAACAACATGCACACGTGTCGCCTCCAATCGTGGAAGTATGGGATACTAACGCACGGTTACCACACAGATGAGCGGGCGAGCAAGTTCCCACCTCAAAACAGACGAGGGAGAAGCAAGGTTCAAAAGCGAGACGACTGCTGCTGGGCGTTCTCACCATCGTAGATGTCTTTCGCGCGTCACACTAACGCGGCCAGTCTCGTTCGACGTCTGGTCATGCAGCCGCGAGAGAGCTACGAAGAATGGGACGAACCAGAAAAAGACGAGCAAAGTCAAGAACAAGATCACCATCGAGACCGAGAAATCGACGTTCCTCGTTTCGTCGACAACCCGGCCTTGGACGAAGTCCAGCCCTACGTAGAAGACCTCTACTACGCGGTTGCACGCCCCCGGTTCGACGCGGACCCGGTTTGTCTCCGACGACAGAGGGAGAACGCCTCCGCAGCGGCAGGTATGGATAACAGCCACAAGCAAATCATCATCTTTCTCGATCTGCCAGATCATTCTGTCTCAATCACACATCACCCGTTAGGGCCTGATGTTTACTGGCGTCGACGAAGAACCAAAGGGGGACAACCCCAAGCGTGGATGAACCCTTGTTAGGCTTTTCAACCCTACCAACGTTTCGTCGCCTGTTGTCGCCGCCAGTGCCTCTTGCACATGCCGTCGGACTGTGAAGCTTGTTTTCTGGCGGCAAATGTTTTGCGAATGGCCACGCACATACCGAGATGGTACGTGAGCGCTCCAGCAGCCAACTCCTCGGTGTTGCGTCGTTCCATCATTCATCAGACACACGGGACCACAACCGTTGTAGCTTTGGTCGAGACTACGATGTCTTGTACTGCTTCTCCCACCCTCTGAGACATAGTGTAGAATCCATCCTCAGAGATATTCTTTGAGCAGGGTGGACAGATAATTTCCCCGTGGGCAGCCCAACACGCCGCCTGGTTCGCTACGCCCGGAACGGACAATATCGGTGAATGCTGGACCACCTGAACAGCTCAAGCTAAAACACTTCAAGAAAGAGCCGGTCGAAACAAAAGGCGCTCTCCCGTGTGCTCTTGCTGAAGCCCCCAGCGGTTCCGAAACCCGACCCTTGTCGCAGGTGCCCTGAATAACACCCTTGGCATCGTAGATCGGGCGACGAATCATCCGCCGCGACCGACAGATATGGCCGGGCAACACCGCGTGGAATCCTTGGAGTTGGGGACTCGAATGCTGATTCGGTATGCGAGCAAAGTCGATCGAGGAGAATAAACGCTCCCAGCGACTTGGAGAAGTCGAGCCAGTTAACATTGTATCCCGAAAACGTTGTTATAAGCCTCACACCAAAACGCGTAGCGCGTGTTTGGAACAGACAGCTCGTGCAAGCTAAGCAAGAGGATGCCAAACGTAAATTACCGTTTTTTGCCATTTTCGAGTGCACCAGGATAAAAACGTACAAGGTGAAGCCTGCATCATCGGGAGGCAGGAGCAATAATTATCATTCGTTCTCGTTCAGCTACGTTCCGCCCCGCAAGGTCAAACTCGGACACCCCACACCGAATATTTACGCGATAAAATGCAGTGAAGCTATTCATAGCGGTGTATGTTGCACTCACAGGAACGTACGACTGGAAAGAATCATTTCTTTTTGTTGCCGGATGAATGGTCTTGGTCACATACTTCCGTCGCCTCTCGGTCTGATTCCGTAGAGATCAGCCGTCTTCGTCGAGATGTTCCTCCCCCCGCGCGCGGGTAGGGGTGCTGCGAACAAACCTTGGTTTCACAGATACCCCCCCCCGCCTACTCCCACACCACCCCTCCCGCTTGATACAGGAACCTAGACGAGGACTTCCCTTCTGCCATGAGGACAAGGGTGGCCGCCGCCCTGCAGAAGATGCTTATGTTCCAAGACGTGAGGGCAAGCGTGGCGGACGCCACCCCTTCGGTCGTGGCACCCCTGGTGGGTCTCCTCCAGCATCCAAAGGGGGTGTCGTCGAAGAAATGGGGGCGGGGGTCATCCGAGCAAAGCGGATCGACAAGACGGGAGGGTAAACAAGGGCATCAGCAGGAAAAGAGGAAGCACACCCGGGGAGTTTCAGTTCGACGCGAGGAGGCGGGGGACGAAGTTTGTGGAGAGGAAGAGGCTTGGAACGCGGCCGAAAATCTGACCAGCAAGGTGAGTCATGGAAGCTCTTCCTGCCGCTGGTACCGATTAGGCTTTCACTCTTCGGTACCCGTCCGCCGGCGTGCCATCTTTCCCCGTCCGGAGCCAAAGTTGCCCCCTGCCATGCCCGTTTTTCCGCGGATGTTCAGTCCTCTACGATCCTAAAACCAAGAACATCGCCGGCTCTCACGACCGTCCTCAAGTTTGAGAACAATCCTAGCCCCCATGAGACCCCTGGCACGAAAGCAAGCATTCTCTTTGCACCACCGCCCCCCTCCATCACCTATTCCCACCTCTTCGTACCTCGTGAACACAGGCTCCCCTACACGCGGCCGCATGCCTCCGTGTGCTGGCCCTGAGCGAGGGCTTTCCGGAGATCATGGCCTCGGCTTCGGCCGTCCCGGCGCTGGTAGACGGGCTCAAGAGCGGTTCACCCCTCATGAAGAGCGTCTGCGGAGGTACTACCTGCGCATTTCTCTGCTTCTTCGACTGCTCGCATCACAGCATGCCTGACCCGCAAAGTCAACTTGTTGGCCCTTCATCCCTTCCCTTCCTATTTCATCCGCCCCAATTTCACAGGCTGCCCGGTTTAGACTGCCATGCCTCGGTGTCCGATCGCAATCGTTCCGTGCTTCGGCCTGTATCCCCGCAGGATGTCTGGCCAGCCTGGCGCGCTGCGACGAAGAGTGTTGCATGGAGATGATAGACTTCGGGGTGTTGCCGACCCTGCTCGGCTTCGTTCGGGACAGAGACCCACTTCCCGAGGTAGGCCCATGCCACCAAAGCAACAAGCCCAAGCACGGTCCGAAAACACTAGCTCAAACCCAAAACCCGTACCAAGCACGCGGCGATCGAAAAATCCCACCTTGTCTAGGCTGCCGCAAAGATTATGGTGCTGGATAAAAGTAAGCGCGGTAGAGATATCACAAACGACTATACTGTCACAGTAACTTCAGACACAATATCACAAATATTGTGGTGGCCGTGGTTGTTGTTGTGGTTGCTGTTAAGATGGTAGTTGTTGAGTAAATTTTTATGTTATCAAACGCTGGACATGCCCCTCGTATCCCTTCCTGCAAACGCTTCTTGGTCCATCCCCGGAAATCCGCGGGTCGTCCTGGACAGCGCTTTGACCCACAGCAAATAATGATCGTGCGCCATTTTTTCTCGCGATGCACTGCTCCTCGTCCAAAGCTTACTGCCTGGAGTGTGCTGGCGGCCATCATGCGGGTTCGAGAGGCACGCGAAGCGTTCGTCAAGGCCGGGGGGGCGGAGCTCCTGGAAGGCGTGCTGACAAGGGTACGTGTGAGAGGCAAGGGGATATGTGTTCCATGCCATTCGCTGGGGGGGTCAGGTGTGATACTGAACTAGGAGGTGGTGCTGACCGCAGTACGGGGAGGACTGCTGATTCTTGACGCTAGTTCTGCTGTAAGGCACGATCGGCCAAAAAGTGTAACGCGATCAGGCGGTGTGAATACCGCATGGTCCAGCAGGTTTTCAAACGCTAGGCGTTCCGTGGTGAGCAAGTCTAGATGATGGTCATTCGGCGTTTTCATGCGTGCGAGCTGCGAAGAAAAAGAGAGAAGGATCAGCGGTACTCAGCACCCACACCCTCTGTTCTTTTTCACCGCTCATATTCACCCCCCCATACTCCTTGCTGCACTACGCCACGAAACAAACGTTGACAGAAGCAACGCAGGACGGGCCCGAACCGCTTCCTTCTCGTCATCCAGGAAAGCGCGATGCGGGTGAGAAAAAAAGGATGACTCAATACCGCAAAAATGGTGTGCTGTCGTGTTTCTTATCACCAGCCCACACGCGTGCACGCAGGTTCTCTTGAAGCTCTGCGAAGAAGAGGAAAGAGATCAAGACGAACGCGACAAAGAGCAGGAAAAAAACAACGGCGGCAGAGGTGACTCCAAAGCCATCAGCCCGACAATCCCGTCCATGCTCCTGCTCGACGACAATGGAAGTAACGCCAGCGACAGCAGTGGACATCGCCGCAACAACGACAGCGGCAACAGTACCGACAAAGGCGACGCCAAAAGAAGAGACTTGAGGAGGGTCGGGAAGGGGGGAAGGACAGGAGAGGCAGGCAACATCAAGCGGTTGCCAACATCACCGTCCGTTTCTGATAGAAGCGGCTGCAACGGCGACGGCGAGGGCGGGGATCAATCGTCCGCATCCCCTCGTCTCGAGACCATGGGCGACTTCGTGTCGAAAGAGGGGGTGTTTCGCGGCCTCTTGAGGCAGATGAAGGGGGGCACACAGGTCTCCATGAAGACATCGGTGGAGGTGAGAAGGGTATCTCTCGCGGGTGACCCGTCGCCCTCCTGCTGAACCTCTTCAGGACCCGAACTTTAGGTCTGGTGGCGAGGTGGTACCTAGCCCTTTCTCACCAGCAGTGATGAACGCACCCGGTTCGCCCACAAGTTTGATTGTGGCCGTTGCTATTACTGTTTTTGTCGTTGTTGCTGTTGTTGTTGTTGATACCTCTACAACAAAAAAGGGGGCGATGCTCTTACTGTAGTTTCGGCTGTAGGGCGTGAAGCCGGAAGTTCGTTGTCGAGAATCTAACCATGCCTGTTCCTAAATCCCATCTGGGGAAGAAGGGTCCTGACCAGCGGTGACAACACCACCAGAATGGATACGCATTTCATCGGCTGGCTGATCATTCGAGGCCTTGGTCAAGAAATACCCCGGTATGCTTCATTTTAGGTGCTGAAGGTGACGTGGAGGGCTTGTTCGAGCAGACAGGTGGACTCGACGATGCCCCTGGTGCTCGACATGCTGAAGTCCGATACATGGATGCTCACGTCCGCGGCCGCTCAGGTCAGTAGAAAAAGAGATCCGCAACAACATAATCAGTGCCGCACCTTTTTTATTTGGAAGTTTTGTGCGGCATGTCCCTGCATATTATCGTTGAAAGGCCGACCGTCATGCCCGCGCCATCGCTGTAGGTCTCGGCGGTTAGGACGTTGTTCGTGATCAAACACGCTAGCATCCCCGAACGCGACCGGGGTCGGTTGTAAATAAGGGTATGTGTCATCGCTGCGTATGTGACACTCAACACCCTGGGCTACTCGTGATTTCGAGTATGCATGTGTGTGCGATTCAGACGGAGGGTGGTATCGACCATGACTCTTCAGGAGACCTAATGCTGATATGTTACCAGAGATGCTGCGTTATCAGCCAATCAAGCAGTCCCCAGCACCAACATTCACGAAGCGAACTCTGCGTAGCATGCAACAAAGCAGAGAGAGTACGCTGCACGAGACCGCCTACCAAACCTATGGGCTACTACCAAGAGCGACCGTCTTGAAAGTTGAGAGTTGTGGTCACCTATGATGGCCAGCGGCTCTCTCCTACGGCGCACTCAAGCACTCCGTAGTCCTCTCTCGCGGTCTCAAGCGTTGTGACCTGCGGTTTCTACGACGTTCGTGCTTCTCATGAATATGGTGGCTCCGTTTACCAACACGAGAACAACTAGTTAGACTACTGTCAAAGGCAATGGGCTTCGGTTTGTTCCATTAGGACAACAAACTTGCAGTAGCATTTTTTTATTGCATGGCCTTGTTCGCGGCCATGACTTGGAATGGCCAACGTTCTCGCAGGCGAAAGGGAAACACAGGATGGACTGCCTACCTACAGTACCTAGAGGGCTCAGCACGGCTTGAAGTCGATTGATCGTCGACATTGAAAACCTTTGGTCGTCATTCGCTCTGGATCATTAGTGAATCCCTTGAACATTATCTAGAAACTCGAGCGACCGTCCCTGTCGGAGTGAAGATGTTCCGCTAGCTTGGCGAGTTATTGCCCGAACGCAATATTTTGTACATGAAACCCGCCTGTTCTCTTGCTGTTTTATGTGTGTGGTCCGGGTCTATTATTATTTTGTAGGTGGTTCTGCACGTGTACCAGGAAGACGATCAGCGACTGAGGTGCGCCGCGTCCGGTGGGGTGGAGTCACTCATCGACACGATTCGTACAAAGGCTCCACAGATGCAGGTACCAGAAGCGGGCGCAGTAAAACCGTCTTGCGTGGTACTTGCTTCTTTGTTTTCGATCGCTTCTCTGCAGCATGGAACAACATACTGTAGACGTGTGTACCGGACCTTCACATGAACCCCATGCCCAGCCTAAAGAGCACTAATATTACGGCGAATAGAAAAAAACATATTCGCCCAGGGGGTTGCTCTGGGTTGCTTAGACAACCGCGCCGCGAGGAATGATCTAAAGCAGCTTGTTGGTTCACTCTTCACATGCCATTACCCCGGAGAATGTGGGCCAAACGACACTTATTCTGCCCACGTGAATTACAGGCGGGCACCTTGGCTGCCCTGCTGAGCCTGTGCGAGCACCCCGACGTGCCGGCGGTAGTAGCCGCGGCGGGAGGGTTGGAAGTCCTGGCAGAGTATCTCACCACAGCAAGAGATATAACCACCAGGTAGTACTGTAGATATTTGAATGTATTTCGATCGAACGCTGTCACGTGTCCCGAGTCGTCGGTGTTACTGGTGTTATTGACATCGTCGTCGTCACTCTGATGGTCATGGCGTGGGGATGTTGGTTGTTTCTGTTCTCATTCCTCGGTATTTGATCAACAGGATAGTACTCTCGCCTCTGAATCACGTGCATGCCTGGATTGGAGTATCGTGGCCGATATAGTGGTAGACTACAGAATTGCGGAAGCGCAGAAGGGGCATCACTTGCTTGGCGGCCGTTAGACGGGTTCACCGGGATTGTCGCTAGCACCCTCTTTCAGCTGCCCTCCCCACCTCATTAACTCTCGGAGTCCTACGCGACACGTTCCTCTCCTGTTCACATTGCTGGCATTGTTCTTCGCTTTCTCTCCATCCATTCCCATTCCCAAACGGTCCTGGGGGTAAATCGTTCGTGTGCACTGCCTACTCAAAAAGGTACGTCGTGCTGGCCGTGATGAAAGTTATCCTGGTTTGCGAGAGACTGGCCGTCGAGCCCTACTTGCCAGACATGGTGAGATGATGATGGGCCAGACCTACCCCGGGTATGCACACACGAGCTCAGTGAGTGCAGAGGTTGAGTGTGCGGTAAACCCACTCGAACCGTGAGACGCCGCGTTTTCTTAAATGTTGAACGTATTCCCCCGACACTTGTCTGTCAGGTCTTTTACTCCAGCGACTCCTCCGCCCCGTACATCGCCCTATGCGTATGCATATTTTGATCGCTTTGTTTGGTGCTTGAACTCCTCTCCGGTCGATTCTAGCTCGTTAGCGAGCACGTCTTGGGCGCGAGCGACGAGATCGACGAGTTTGTGCGAGTGTTCGTGGACAAGAGGAAGGCTTCGGACTACCTTCCAGTCGGGGTGGCGAACGTGTGTCGCTTTGCGGCGAAGGACATAGCAGAGTATAAGTCAACCTTCAAGGAGGTACACGAGAACAAGATTGTCCGTACATGCATCAATCATCCAACGAAGATGACATAGCTTCACGCGGAATTATCCCCCTGTTCTTGTATTTCGTAGAGGGAAATACCTACAACACGACGAAGCTAGCAACAAAGACGATTCGACAACCCCCCGCGCGGTTCATAGCGCGCGACATTCTTAACCGGTATCTCTGTGTGATCTCGCTGCGCCAGACCTACAAGGCTAGATGATCTGAGCGTTTGTGCTGGAACAACATTCATTCGAAATCCCAGCGATTTTTCTAATTTACAGAACAGATCGGGGCTCCTCGTCATCCCCAATCCCCACCCCCATTCATTCGTCACCCTCATTCAGTCACTGCTATGTGGCTGAGTCAATTAAAAAAGGAAACGAAACATGAAACATTTGTTCACTGCAGTACAACAACCCCGGCGTGTATGTGTGACTTCAACGACGAACATACCATATCCGAACATTGTTGATGATGGATCCTTCCGCAGCTAGATAAGGATGCAAGTGGTGCCCTGGACGAGCGAGAGCTAGGACGGCTACTTAAACAACTCAAGGTGCGGGTGAAAATGTGGGGTCTCGAATACCCTCAATATTCCTCGCAAGACTACATGTCGAACAAGTCTTTGTGAAGAGTGCTTAGTCCACAGTATTTGCAAAATGTCACCCTGAGTTTATGAGGGTATCGTTGTAATGGCGGGACCCTTGTCATGAGAATCAGTCCTGCCAAAGATTCGAAACATATATATAGGTGAAAAAAAATGTATATCACGAACTATGTCTTCCTTGTGGACGACTCTGCGTCCAAACCACATACGGAGTAGTACATAGTCTAACTGTGAATCTGAAATTCACCTGCTGCGCAGTTTCGCTCGTGTCCTTCCACACAGTTATTTGGCAAGCGATCAGGACGTCGGATGCCAAGTCCATCTGAAACACCACCAGGCGATGAACACCCAAATACACATTTAACCTGTTGTAGTTTCACGTCCTTCGTCCGAAAGGTGGACTCAAGAAAAAAGACTGTCAAGAACGTCCTACTCGCCGTCGACAAAAACAACAGGTGAGACGAGAGTACCGAACAATACGACGAGTGCCGAAGCACCGAGCATTTTTCAGCCAAGCAGAGAAAAATGGAGCAAGCAACGATGAATGTTAATATTCTTGCCAATCTGTGTTTCGGACGTCATCTGAAGTACTTCGAACGGGGGGTTATTGAGATGAGAAAACAAGCAAGGTCAAATTATTGAATCAGACAAATTAGTTAATATTTGAGGGTCGGTGTCGCGAGCATAGCCATTAGGGAATGAGAAAAAACACTTCTGCAGTAGCCCTATAGGGGCGATACGCAACTAGAGAATAAGAAGACGGAGGCAACTTATTCAACTAGTTCACTAGGGACGATACACCAGTGAAAACAAAACAGGTCGTTTCTAGGGACAATTCAACACCAAATGAGGAGAAAAACTCCGGTGGGGTGGGCTCTCGTTGTTTAGGCCAAACAAAGATCCGTATTTTTCGTTGACGACCGCAGCGGAATGGTTGAATTTGACGAGTTCCTGGACATCATGTGGGATATCAAGCACGCCAAGGGGAGCGCACGAGGCCTCCTATTCGGCCGAGCGGGTATATTTCTGGAGGGGACGTTCGCTGCGGCGCAGGCGGCGCTTCGTGGCAAGACGCCGCGCCGGCAGCAGGTGAAAACTTCCACCTCTCTCGGGGAGGGTGAAGTTAAGGTCCCTTCTGCCACACGAACAGACGGCCGACAGGAAAGCCTAGACACTTCCAACATGACCGCCACCTCGATAGCGACAGGGGAAGAAGGCCAGCAGCACGGCCAAGAGGGTCTGCCGCAAGAGCGCCAGCAGGCAGCGCCGGCGGCGGCAGTGAAGACGACGAGCGTCGCTGGCGCGATCGTAGCCCGAGGAAAGGAGGCCACGCTCTCCTTCCTCCCCAAGATAACTGTCAAGAAAATGACGTGGAAAGGATTCTCATAGAGTAGACAGGGTCTACGCTCTCGGGATATTTTGCATTTCACTGCTGGGGACACTGCGCCATGTAGACGACGCAAAGAAGCATGAAAAGGTGAAGGGAAACCTGTGCCTTTCACTGAGTAGAATGAATCCCCGTTGCAAAACGACCGTGGTAGGTTCAACAGATAGTGATAGTTTCTGGTGAATGTCTCTCACTACGTATCTCTCTGTGTTGCGAAACATAATTGTTCGCCTTGGCGTTGCTCACCCCTTGAGAGTTTTCTTTCGGTGGCCTCCCACCCACGAACGGCACCGATCCCTACTCAGCTGCCAGACTGCATTTTCTTGGGTAGAAGCTGTCCCTCCTTGTTGTGAAGATATTGGAAAACATTCGAAAACCCTACGGGCGCTTCGTAAACCTGAAGCGCCGGTTGCTTACACTCGTCGGCGGCGTTTCGCTGCTGCTCATATTGCGCACACCACACCCAGCCACCCCCCGTACGGATGTACTTCAAAACAAACTCTGTACAATGTATGGCAAACGACAACAGCAAAAACGCCCAGGAGCCAGCCATTGGGCAATTCAAACCCTGCACAGTAACAAACACAGGGAGGAGATACAAAATGGTAATGGTACAGAACACAAAGAATACACCCTAACCAGCCAACCGCCATCAGTCCGTCATGTCGCTATGCATTCCAACAAAAAGCTAGCAAATGCACAGACGACGAGCAAAAGGTGACGCCTGATAAAACCAACACGCGGTGGCCGTCACAATCACTGCCAATGAAAGCTATGATGCTCGTCGAATACAAGGACAGAGGCAAAACACAAAGCGAGAGATTAGGTTAGACATTGATAGGGGACCTATAGGTCTGACCCGACGTTGAACCTAAGCTCTGCACACGGGATCTGTCACATACCGTGGCCGACCCAACCCCAGCACTGTCCTACCCCTAACCCTCACCCATTCCCCCACGGCCAACGCACAGCCTGCACGGGATGTGTCACACACCGCCGTGCCCGACCCAACCCAACCCAACCCAATCGTAGCACTAACCTAACCCTAACCCTCACCCACGGCCAACGCACGGCCTGGCGGCCGACAGCGAGAACGCGGCTACATCGAGTTCTGCGCCGCGTTCTGGGAATGCGGGCGGCGAGAGGGCGCTGGAGAGGAATCGATCGTTAGAACCATCGCCAGACCAATCAGAGCGCCTTAGTCCTAAAGATGCCCCTGTCATTGTGTAAACACTACTGCAACGCGATACTTTCGGCGTTACATAGCGGTGGGTGGTGAACATCAAGAAAAAAGAAAAAAAAAACATGTTCTCCACGTTGGTCTAGTCTCACCTCTCGCGATTGTCGGGGGGGGCTCGGCAGCACCGGAGACTTGCTCCCGTTGGCATCCACGACCCACTGATTTGAAACGCGTAATAAGTTACAGCTACACTGCCGTAGCAAAAAACCTCATTCAACTACCTTTGTCAGTCGCAGAGACTATGTGCCACGTCATGATCGATACGACAGCGGCCCGAATACCACCCCCCAATGTTCGCAACCCTGACTTACAACCTCTTCATCGGAAAACATACCCGGAGGGATCGACGGGTGTTGGCGCTAAGCGTCCTTGGTATCAACACGGCACAGAAAAACGAGGGGCTCAACACCGTTCGGGATTCATCTGTTCTGCCCCCCGTAGGACATCATCATGCTTGACACCTCGTCGTCGCGAGCACCGCAAATCATTGACACATATACCGAAGCAAAAGACGCACCAACAATATCGCCATGAATCGACGCAGCTCACACGTCCCGCGCTACTTTTTCTCTGTCCCAACGTACCTGCTCACCCTCCCGATCGTCTATCGACTGACTCTGGACCTACAAAAGAAACACCCTGACAAGGCCAAACCAAAAACAACTCTGCACCTTGTCTTCACGAAATATATAGATGAATGCACACGCAAGAACGCACAAACACACAACACTCGCAATCACAGGTGCAACAGCAGCTTTTGTTGCAAGCCTACAAGCTGCTGCAGTCGCGGCCCGATATGAGAGGTTGGTGTCACGAAAGGCCCTCGACCCTCTGTATATCGGGACCCATTCTTATCGGCTACCCAACTATAACGAGTACGTGACAACCGATTTCGACCCTCATATATCGGAGCCCGCTCTTCTAAGGGACCCTCTGATATCAGAACTACGACTGCATACCACGAGCACAGCGTGGAAAAAAACACGCTTTTCCTGCAGTGCCCAATGCAAGGACCGCGATGCGGCTCTCCGCCTACCATCGCCGTATCGCTGCCGGCTTGCGTGGCCACGGGTCTCCTGATACTCCCCGCCCCGTTCACTCCTTGCACTCTGAGTGGCCGCATGCCTGCCTACCTGGCTTGTTGAATGGTCGCGCTATCTTCTTCATCTGTGTCTCGGGATGGTGAGATCGGCGGCGGTGATTTTGGTTTCGACGCCATCGGAAAGCTTGGGGTTGATCAAGAGGTACCTAGTGTTTTGGAGGTTTGTGCCACAAACGACACCACGACGACGACAACGACAACGACGACAGCGACGGCGACGGCGAAACAAACCAACAAAGGGCGGACAAAGGGAAGAGAGGAAGAAGGGCGGGGATCAACGCGTTGCAAGTCAATATCGTGCGTGGTGGTGAAGCAACACAATAAAGACACGAATCCACACCAACAAACAACAATTCAGACCAGACATCGCCGTTCGTCCGTCGTATTTCGTGTACGAGGCAGGCAGCTTAGGAGGTTGGAAGCCCTGTCGTATTCAAGCGCGCACCACAACCCGAATCACCGCCCAAAGCGTGCGGCGCGAACGCCTCTGGGTTGACGCTTTACGTCTCATGAATGCTCTCGCAAAGTTAAAAAACGACTGCCATAGTTCGCGGGTTTTGGGGCAGTCGTTCCCCTCTGACGGTAGGCAGGAGTCTTCCATGTCTTGCTGTTTTTCTCGATGAAAGCGGGCGTGTAAGCTAGAAGTCCGGGAGGGCATCTGTGCTACGTGCCAAGGCAACGACCACAGCAAAAACAACGCCTTTTGCGCCTACCCAACAACGGACCAAGACTTCGCCCGCGCGAAACAACAGCACCCTGACTGTTTGACCCATAGCAAACGTAGCACCACCGTCTACAACAAGAACTTGGCCTCACCAAACCTCGCGCAACCTACAACCCCAAACCGACCAGGCTGGATTAATCCTGGCCCCCAACTCTTTTACACAAACCCAACGATCTCCGACCAAACTGCCATAACGCTACACCTTACCTGGTGGCAACGCATTCCTCGTCGGGTACGACGTAGTACTTCGGACCGTGAGCCTGTCGGCACTCCTCTCTGTGCCGAACCGTTGCAGGTAGCAGAGCGAAGAGGACGACGGGGATTAATTGGGGACGTGAGTGAGTCACTGCTGTTAATTGTCGGGCATGGGCGTAACCATGAAAGTGAAAGAGGGGCGGCGATCATGTCATAGACCCTTGGATCCCGGCGGAGCCCGGTCAGAACTTTTCGGGATTCAGCCAACCATGTGAGCGGAATGGGCGTTCGGAGGAATGAGAGGGGGTGCAGATTGTGGAAAATACGAAAAGCACTCTGCACGTAATTCTCCGGAGACGGCCAGGGTGACAGGAAAATTGAGCCCGTCATTCAGGAGGGTACGAAAACAAAGAACAATTTTGCAGCCAAAAAGTGAAACAGAACCGCGATCCAATACGAACAATGGTATCTATCTGATCTTCAACTCCAATTTACAACTAGAGCCATCACCATCAAAACTTGCCCAAATGACACCCGCTGTTCCTATAACCGTGGCGCATCTAGGGCATGGAGAACGAAGCTTCCGAAAGCATTGATTACGACCAACTCGATCCAAACCAATCACAAATCTTCCTTAACATAACAAGAATAGAAAATACAACTGAAAAGTTATCTCGTGTTCGCCGATTCAGCGAGAAAACAGGCCACAAAACGCCCAGCCATCTACATAGGCCGTGTGAAACCATGACCCACTTGTCGATGACTTCGCACACGGCCACGATGACGGCCGATCCATCTATGGAGCTCAGCGGCCAGTGATTGCCACTGCCCTCTCCGTTCGAGCCCATTCCGGCGTACTTGAGCGAGACACCGAGCGCCTCGGCCATGTAGATGCCCTTGCCATAGGCCGCTCCGTACGACTGATACTTGGTGCCTTGAGGTTATTATTGGGGGTGTCAGGGCATGCGTTGAGCAGGAATGCCAAATAGCAGTAGGAGCAAGGCAAAAGGAAGAAGAGGGGGGGTGGGGTGTGGGTGCAGAGACGGCGCGGAGGGGGAAGGGAGGGGAAGGAGAGAACGAAAGGACATAGGGGGAAGGGGAGAGAACGGCAGAGAGAGATTCGTGAGTTCAACACGTACCTATGAGAAAAAACACCATTGACAAAGGTCGAGAGCGGAAAACGTTGCCCAGCGGACAATAGCTTGAAGCCTCTGGTGCACAGTGAGGGCTGATGGGGGTGAACACGGACGCTCTTTTCTTGAGAACACGGTGGTAGTGTAGAGGCCGTAGCGGCTGGCGTGACCGGCCTGTTGGTAACAGCGACGAAAGTTCGCGTACCAGCTACAGCACCCGCGGACTAAGAGACGCCACGAGCACGTGAGTGGTTCGTTGGGCACAGCCAAAATGTTGGCTGGAGAGCATCACTACGAAAACAACACAAAAAAAAAAAAACGTGCAGTACGTCAGCAGCGGGGTTTGTGCGTGATTGTTCCCCAGCGACCGATAAGAAGCGGGCGCATTTCTTTCTTCCCGGCGGGGGGTTCACAACACTCGCCAAGACAGCGAGAATGCCGGACCCTCAAGGACCGTGTACAATAAAAGAAACACGCCAAGGAGCTAAGCAACCGCAACCGTTCGACACACCGGACATGTTTCTGAGGCCCATGTGCAGGATGCCGTGCCAGTTGTCGGGCTTGCTTCCGTGGAAGGCGTAGAACGATCCTGTCCCCGATCCCCCGCTCCTCCGGGACCCCGCAATCCGCTTCATCGTCTGGAACTTAGCCTCTCGCTCCGCTGTGCCTGAAGGGCGCGTGTCGTGCGTGACAAAGAGACGTTTTCTTCGTGTGGTAGGTGCCCCCAGTTTCCGTGTTGGTCGATCTTCCTGTCCTAAGTTGGCCAAAGTTTCCTTGGTCGGTGGTGACTACCCAGAGTCGTTTAGTCCCGTTGTCCGAAAGATCTATCTACTAGAATATTTTACCGTGTGCAAAATCCAAAAAACGTGAAAGTAGAGGAGGGAGGCAGGTTCGAAAGCGCCAGTTACAGTTGTAGAAACACCGACTTGAGCGAAATCCTCTACACTGGAGAGGGCCCTTGACGCAAAAGAATAGCTGGCACCGAACCGAGAAGACGAAAGGCATAGAACACCGAAGAACGGTGGTTCTTAACTAGGGTTTTCGTATTGAAACGAGCAGCTCATTACGTCCAAATGGACAGGCGTTCGTTCAAGATTCCAGACCAGGATGGTTGACACGCCTTGGTCAGTTCCATCTCAAGCAGCCCTTCTCTCTCATAAACCACACAGTGTACGTTACAAGTTAACTGATTGCCTTTTCTCGCCTAATCCCTGTCTTCCTGGCTGCCCTTGCCTTGACAATTGTCATTTCTTCGAGAGTGGCGGGACTTGCTTATTTCGGGTGTTGCCAATTCTTGCTGTATGTTCTTCGCGGTTTGTGATGCGAAGGCGCAAACAACATCGACATGGTGTGTGAATTTGAACCCTTGTCTTTGTCTTGGTTGCTATTTCATTCTTGTTGGCGGTTTTCGTGCCATGCATTGTTTGGGTAGTTTAGTTGACTTGAAGAGATCTCGAGCCTTGGCCGCGCTCTCGACGGGCAAAAAAAATGTGCAAGCCTTTGGCAGCCGACATTGGCTTTTGCGAAGAGGGTCCTGCACAACCACAACTTCAACATAAATCGAGGAAGTGGTTGTGAGCGACACAGCAAGCCAAGCCTACCAACAACGCTTGTTCCGCCGCCACCCGCTGCGCCATGAAGAGGTACAAAGACACGCACCACGCAGGACGCATAGAAAACCCTGGGCGCATAACAAGCACGGCCACAGGGAACACCAAGCACGGCAACGAGCACCTCACACGCACTGCCTGGTTCGCCCGGAACAAACATGAACCACCATACCCCACGCGGCAACTAGCCATAATGGAAGGTTTTCTCGCGGGGACAACTCGCGAGAGGGGAGTAGGGGAGACCCACGGCATGCCTTCTCGAGGATCGTTTTACACGCCTGAGTTTGCTGTGGATGATCAGCAAGTGCCGTCTCTGATACGGCAATTCATAATCGCGTTCTACCCCCAGAAAAAGAAGACATTCACGTAAATGCATATGATGTGCGTGGACTTAGGTCTCAACGTGCCACGCAAGGTCTGGCACGCGCCTCTGAAGGTACGCTTGATGGGCTGTGGAGGTACTTCTAACATCGACAGGTATTCCTTCGGGAATCTGAAATGATTCAAATTTCCGGAATGGTTTGCCGGGTAGGAGAGCAAAACCTAACGGAGAATCGCGGGGACACAGGCGTGGAAGTGAGCAGCAGTACCTGTGACAAGCATGAATTGTTTCTCGCAGGGAATCTCCGGGATGACCTCAGATCCTCGCAATGGTCGCAAGTGGGCACGATTCCTGCACATGAACAAAAAAACGCGAAATTCCGGTGAAAACGGCGAACAAATGACAGCAGCAGCAGCAGCAGCAGCAGCAGCAGCACGCAAAGAGAACAACATGGTCAACCGCCGTGCTCTTGAAGCGAAATGGTCTGATGTAATGTCGTTGCCCAGCACGCCGGAACAGAAGGCAGGTAAAGCGCTTCCAAACATGAGACGAGCGCGAAGAAACGACGACGACGACTGCAGAAAGCTTTGGCAGCAAGGAGCACTCACGCCGACAGCAGCCACCGCAGCAGCGGGTACGACAGCGTGTCCATCTTCGTCAAAGCCTCCCTCAACGACAACATCTGAGCGACGGACTTATCCCACGCTGACTCCTCCTTCTCCTTCTCCTCCTCCTCCACCACCACCTCCTTCTCCTCCGCCACCCCGGCTGCCGTGACCACACCGCCACCACCACCACCACCACCACCACCACCACCACCACCACCCCGTTTGCGCGAGAAAACAGTAGCAGCGGCGGTGGCAGCTTTGCGAGCAAGGCTGGTGGCTGTGGCCTTGGCCTGAGCAGTGCGGGGATTGAGCGCGGCCGCACCAGCACTGGCAGCAGAACCAGCACCACTGGCAGCAGCGTTAGTCCCAACAGCGCTATTGCTGCTGCTGATGCTGCTGTTGGCCACCGAGGTCTCGGCAATGCCCCCCTTCGCCTGCCACTCGATGCACCTCTGCATGTCGGCTACGGAGGGGAAGACGTCCAGCACTTTGCGGACCTACACATGAGATGAAGAAAGCAATGGGAAACTCGAATGGTTTATTTATTTATGGTGAAAAAGGAACATTGTTACACCAAGTAATGGGAAACTCGGCTGACTTCAAGCATTCGAAAAAATGATGAAAAGTTAATGTTGCAACAAAAGAACAGTGCTAGTAGGGCCGGCCAACACGTGCGCTCAGAATCGACTGCGGCGGCTTGTGGGCGGCCGGCAGACGGGGTGGAACCACCCCTCAGAAACACTGTGGCTTTCCCGCGATTTTTCGCACATCCAGGAGGTAAACCTTCGTTGTTCACATCTAAAAAATCGTAGGCAAGCACCGCAGGGGTGGGTTGGAGCCACTCTGTGTGACCACGGATTGGAGCTCTGTGTGACCACGGATTGGAGCTCCGACCCGGCAGAAATGCTTTGAGCGCTGATTTAAAGTGATGAGAAGGGAGAAAAAAACGTCTACGTCCGGTAATCTGTACTGATTGGGATTCCCATGCCAGAGGAGTGGCCCCGATTGTTGATTCTCCGGCACCCGTGTGTGTTTCTGTTTGTCTGCGGCCCTGCCATGGTGGTTGAGGTACTGCGTGCCTGCGATGCGGTGTGCCAGGCAATGTTCGACCCTGTTTTCAGGTCAAGAGAGGCTAAACGGGATGAGAGCTTTTCCAATGGCAACGTACTGGGCTGGGATGCGGTTCTTAGTGGGCTGTGAAAGAAATAATCGTGATTTTTTTGTACGTCCACGGAGATGGCCGAGCAACGAGTCAAATTTTCTCATAATAGCACTATGGAAAGTTAGGGCAGACCAAAAACGTGACGGGGGAAACAGCGAACTAAATCTCGAGTTCTCACAGCCAACCAAATCGCCCAGACATTTACACGACACGAAAACCGTCCCCCAACACAAATAACCGCAGTGTTTTTCGTCGATCAAGACCGGACGAGCGCTACAAGCAGTAGCGCCCGCAGTAGCGCCCGCAGTAAACAACCTCTAGTTTTGGCCGAGGCTGAAGAAATTTTCTTTCCTAGGGTAAGGGTTAGGGTTAGCCGCTATGTACGTATAAGTGTGAGTGTTGGGGTTCTTAATCGAGTTCGCAAATTCGATCCGAACTATTCGAGGCTCTCGATTTCGCCCCTTAACTGCCAGGTTTTCGAGCGAGGGCTTACTGTCCTTTACACAACACACACCTTCTCGACGTCGTGCGTGCCGTCGCGGTTCTTGAACGCAAGGGCGGCTCCCGATTGCACCTGCAGTGCACGAGCACCGTGAGAGATGGTTGGGCAAGCCCTCGAAAGCTCAACCGCCCAGAGGCGTTTCTTTGGCGCACTGCTGTTCTTCCTTGTTTTGTTCGTGTCTACGGACGAACTTATTCACGCGTGTATATCGATGTGCTCAGCAGCAACAACAATCGCGACAACAAAAACAACGGCACGTCATCAACAACAGTATCACAATCAGCATCGGTCAGGGTTGGCTCATTTTCCTTCCCTTGAAAGTTGCTCTTGTAGGGAATATCGTGGGGGTGTCGCAAAATGATTCCGAAGGGTTGCAGCCGATCTTCGCGTATCTTCGCCTACCTCGATCCTTGTTGGATCATAATTTTACTCATGTCCCGGTACACTCCTTACGACGACGCTCGCCTCACGGCAATCAATCGCTGGATCCAAGGCCAACGCCTCCCTTCAGACCCTTCTTGCATTCCAGAAGCAGCAATTCGAGCATTGACTACGCATCATATCTCCTTTCGTCAAACCACCTCCTCGTAGACATGTCTCAGATACTTGCGTTCCCGTGCAAAGCCATTGGCACGGTATATCCAAAATACGTCACCTACCGTGTTTCTTCCCTGTCGCAGCACGAAATCGACGGCGAGGGGGTCTCATATGTTCCAGTCGCTTCAAAACTTGGCGACCTGTTTTCTCACCGCTGCCGGAAAGGCGAGCTCCGACCGACTCTCGTTCTTCATGGCCATCCAGAAAAGGTCTATCTGCAGGTCCACAGTCTCCCCTTTCCTCAACACCTTGAAAGCGCGCGTTCACGCAGCAGGTGATTCATGCTGTTGTTGAGGTCGTCGTTATTGCTGCATCACGCACCCTAGTGCTTTCGAGCAACAAATTTCCATGCTACTTGAGCTACGACCGATGCTGTCATCCTACCGCGATCAACACAAAAATTCTCCATCTGGTCATCGGTATTTCTCTCCTGCCACCTTAGTCCAAGCAAACACGTGTCCCTCTCACCCACACAATTCTCGGTGTGCTCACTGGTGTAGCTACCTATAGCGCAACCGAAAACTCGCAAGGAAACCCCTCTCAATGGCATGGCCAACCGTCCACTTCAAGCGGCCAACGAACACCGGGTATGGACCCCCAGCGTCCTCTCGGCAGAAACGACGCCTCTACACGTCTCAGTCACCTGCGATTCCACGTCCGTTCCGCACCCCATTTCCTCCGAGCTCATCACGCAGAGATCCTTTTCGGGTCGTTGAACCGTGGAGAAAGCAGAGGTCCACGGCAACGATCGATGCGTAGGAACTATTAGCTGGTGCACGAACCTCTATACCCAGCAAGTGTGGACGAATCTTAGCGAGTGGGGGGGAGTGGGTCTCTCGGGTGACTCTCTCACGGAACCCCCGTTTTGATATAGAAACAACTCGTCTTGCGCTCGAATCTTGATACCCAGCAAGAGTGACAGAATCTTGCCGAGTGGGGGGGGGGGGGTGCCTCTCGGATCGAGCGATTCTCTCACGGAACCCCCTTCTAGAATCAAAGAAAATCGTTTCGCATGAGAGTCTCATACCCAGCAAGAGTGAACGAGTCTTGCCTAGTGGGGGGCGGTGGGCCTCTCGGATTGAAGTGATGCTCTCGCGGGACCCCCTTATATCAATTCAAGCTGTTCGTTTCGCACCCTTGCCCACGTCGCCATGCGTTAACGACACAACCACTTGCGACAGACGATCAGTGGCAACCCTAGGATCGCTTCCTGTGCTTCGCGCTGCAAAGGACAGATGTTAACAGTTTGGCGGACGACCGGCACAAACCCTGGCCTTACGAACGGACAACCGCATGCTACTCGCATACGGAAAAACTTGTTCTGGCGGACTTTCGGCCTGGCATGGAGTCTGACAACCGCATGCTCAACGTACACGGTTGGACACATTCTGGCCATGCATACGCCAACACCACAGTTGAGCGCAACTGACAACCGCATGCTAAAGGTACTCGACAGGATACACCGTAATCGGCACCAACCCTAGCATTGATCACGAACAACCGCATGCTAAACGGTACCAAATACAACAGGACACACACGCTGGTTCCTCTATAAGAGACCATTACGGTCTCTACAGAGGTCTCACAGAACTGTAAAACAAACTGTGATAACTTTCAGTTGGAAGACCCGAACCACGCACTTTTTCGTGCGGAACCCCCGAGGCCTGAGATCTCTTAGAGGACCAGCACACGGTTGCCCTAAGCAAGCTGCGATAACAATAGTCGATCGGCGCCAACACCAGAATCATGAGCTGGCAGGCACCGCGTGCCACGCGGTATACGCCAGGACACACCGATGGGAAGACGATCGGCACCAACACTAGAATCAAGAGCGGGTAGGCATCCGCGTGCCACACGGCGGCATACGGCAGGCAGGACACACCTTTTGGCAGACGATCGGCACCGCGGGGAGGAATCCCTCGATCTTGTCGTTGCAGACCAGGCACCTGTTGTTGGCGTTGCGGAGCTTGTCAATCACGGCGTGAGCCACGCGCAACTGCTCTCACCGACGAGCACAAGAACAGAAGAGAATCGATCGTGCACGCGGAGGTGGAGGAATCGAGGTGGGCGGGGGTGAAGACATGAAAACGTATGGCGTAGTTGGCAGGGGGGGGGGCGGGGGGGGGGGGGGGTACTCCTAACCCGGCATGCCCTAATCCTTTTGCCATTGGCATTTCATCCCCAAAAAACCGGGACGGAACCCACCGGGTTTCCACCCGGGGGGGGCCCCAAAAAAAAAGGGGGGAAAACCAAAAAAAAAACCAACCCGGCGGTCTTGTAACAATCCGGTGTTTTTCCCAATGTCCTAAGGCAAGATAAAGGGCGAAAACTGCGGTTTTGAATGTGGGCCGGGAAGAAAGTTAACTCTTTCCCTGGACCCCCTTAACTTGCCCGGGGTTGGAACCACCAAGGTTTCCCGAACCCCCCCCACCGAAAAAGGGTCCGAACCTTTCCCATCGAGAAAACAACCAAAACACCCAAT